CAGGCGGCTCGTGCCCAGGGGGATGTTTATGACACGATCGCCACCATCGAGAGAGACACGAAAGGGTCACAATTTACCAGCATGTTGCACTATGACATCCATCCGTAGGACATGCCTGATCACCCCATTCACGTTGATGATGCAGAGATGCACGGCGCATGGCAGACAGCACACGACTAATGCGCATGTACATGAGAGCAGCAGAGGCAAACGCTGCAGTACAGTCCAAATTTGTCACAAGGAATCATGGGCAAAGAACGACACCAACGTGGGGCCCAAGTTTAGATCCCCGTCCATTGGTCCTTACTTCATCGTTTTCACTGTCTCCAAAAGTGGGGAATGCCTGACCTGTGCTGGGTTTCTTCTCGCCCAGCGAAGTACCTCAATGAGAAGTTGAAGCCGAAAGACAAAGGAAGAGCAACCATCGACAGGGCTGGACACTCGCCCCAACGCAAACATAGAGATCCGACGTCGCTCGAGATAGTGATGAATAATACAACATCCAGGCCGGGCCCCCCGACCCCATCTCTCTGCGGCAAGTCTCCTCCAGTCGGATCCATCCGTGAGGGCTCCTGGGCCCGAGACCTTCCGAACACGCCCGGTCCGAAACGGTTGCAGCGTCCACATCAGAGGGCCTGATAGAGATCCTGCCGGTGCGAACATGCGACGGCGCCTGCGAGCACGCGAGCCGCAAGACAACGACGAGGGCCCATGCCGAGGAAACCAATCCAAACAGTACAGTCGGACTCGATTGGCCAGGACACGCGAGACGACACAGGACCCTTCCGAGGGCCACACTGCCACAAGACTGCAGGAAGCACGGGTCGCGAAAGACATGAGACGCACAGAGACATACCAGCACTATAGGTTCTCCTTGGAGGCGCGCAGTCCGACCCGAACATACGGAGCGGTGTGGCCAGAATGCGCCCGCCACGACGCATGTACTGTAAGATGTCTCGGTGCGCGCATCGCCCCGGGGGGGGCATGTGGTATACGGTACGGTCCGACCTAGGACAGAAGAACATCCCTCAAGAACTTGAGACCCTCCGCCAGCCCAACCACACAGAACATCCAAGGGTACCCTACCCAGGATGCACAAGAGCATCCAACAAACACGAAGAACACTAGGGTACCCTCCCCGAACGGACCTCGATCTTATACCTTGGTTCGGCGGTATGCTGGGGCGACGCCGAACACGGGACACGGCAGGCGACCCTCGACCCGGCAGGGTCGGCCTACGGATCGGGGCCGACGGTAAGGCAGTCCACATGGGGCAGACGCCCGAGGCGCAGGGCAGACGGCGGAGGGGGCATCTCCGGGTCTCCCACAGTGCTGTCATCGGCCTGACCTAAAGAACGATAAATAGGGAACGAGGCCCCTTTTTTCTCCAGGGAGTAACGCAGAAGAAACGATAACTGATCAGTAACGTGTAGGGGGCGATGAATAACGCACACAAGCCTAAGGAACAACGGGGCCCCTTTTAAAAAGTTGGTGTTCCTTATTCAAGCCGCTCACTGTAAGAGCGCTCCGTGCAGACACCTGGCGTTCAAGGGGGGGCCCAAGAACACACAAATCCGCCGATCTGGCGTGTGAGTTTAAGAAAGCTACAACCTGAGCTTCAGCTCTGCTTGGGGGGGGGCCGGGGTGGCTCTGCCGGGGTAGGGGGGGGAGGGGGGGGGGGGTCATGGGGTCCACCCTTTCTTTCCCCCCCCCCCCGGGAATCCCAAACCGACCCAAGATGGGCCAAAAGGGGCCCAGGAGGCCACCAAGACGGACAAGGAGGCGCCCGAAACGGCCCAAGAGCGCTCCTGGACGCCAAGATGGCCTGAAGACGGCCCAAGAGGCCTCCAAGACGCCTCAAGGAGATCCCAAGAGGACCCCCAATAGGGCCCCAAGAGGGCACAATAATAAAGTTGCTAATATGTTTTGAAGCATTTTAACATTATCGCCTTGTCCGTCTTAGAAGCGCCGAAGACGGTCCAAGAGGCCCCCAAGATCGCCCCAAGACAGCCCAAGAAGCCCCCAAGAGGAGCCAAGACGGTCCAAGAGGGCCCCAATATAGCCCTGGAGGCCCCCCAAGATGACCCCGAGAGGCCCCCAAGATGGCCTCAAGAGGGTGAATCCAAACGGACCCTTCTAGTCCTCCACCCCAAGATGACCCCAAGAGCCCCCAAGATGCCCCCGAGGCGCCCCGAAGGGGCCCCCAGAGTCCCCCAAGAGGTCCCCAAGAGGCCCCCAAGAGGACCCCGAGAGGCCCCCAAGAGGCCCCCGAGAGGCCCCCAAGAACCCCCAAGAACCAAGAGGCCCCAAGAGGCGCTCACTCGCGTGCTGCCAGGCCAGAGGTGCACGGCCTGACTTGGGATTGCTCGGAAGCGAAAGCGATGAACGAAGAACCTTCCACCCGTCGACGTCTCCAGTCGTCGGTCGTGGGCCGTCGGCAGCCGTTCGCCGTCAGTCGTCATCGTCGTCGCCGTCGTCGTCGTCGTCGTCGTCGGTTCGTCGTCATTAACTCCTTCGTCGGTCGTCGTCGTAATTATCCCGCTCGTCGACCGTTGGTCGTCCGTTGTCGTCGTCATCGTCCATTTCAACAACAATAGCATCAGGAGCGCCACGGATCGGAGGCACTGGCTGGAGGCCACTACAATAATATACACAAACGAAAGGATTCCCCATATTTTCCCATATTTTCTGGGTTCTTGTCTTCCCGCCCAAATCCCATAGTTTCCCATCTTTTCTCGGGGATCGACGATTGATTGTGTCTGTGTGTCTTCCCCTCCTCAGTTGCAAAGGGAACGTCCCATCTTCTCCGAAATACCATGTTGCTCATGTCGTGAACCCTCAAGGATCTCGACCCTTCCCAGGGGACGGGTCAGAGGCGCACGAGTAGTTTCAGTGACTCACAGCTGGCCTCGCCGACGGCGCCTTCAGCCAAACCCTGGGGATACGCTGATAGACGCGCTCGTGCAATCGGAGCCTGAACACCGCAGGAATAATCGATCAGATCAGGATTGTAGTCAAGCGAGCAATTATCAGAAACAGCTTCTCCTCCCCCTCCCCTTGCCCCTTCCTCCTACTCCTGATCATGATCCTGGTCGTCATCCCCCCTTCCAACCTCTAAGTTCCCCTCCTTCGCCGCTCTTGTCCCCAAACCTCAAGTTTCTTGGGCTGGAACGGGATGCGCATGCAAGTGCAGCTCGATCGACAAATGATAAACTCACGGGAGACATAATTGACCCAGTTCTCATTGCCCTCCCCCGATGGCATGATGGTGGGGCATTCAGCTTGTGGAACAATCAATTTGCGAATGCTGGGGCAAGAATAGATTCCCTGAGTCGACGAAGCTGTGCTCAACTTGGTTCTCGGGGTCAGCGCAGGACCCCAAATCAGCCCATACGACGACAACGACAACTTCAATTCAGAACTGCAACGGCGAAGGCGCCGACGACGGCGACGACTGCGGCAGCCGCGACGGGCACGACGGCGTCGGCGGCAACGGCGGCGGCGACGGCGAAAGACAGCGAGGGCGTCGGCGGCGGCGGCGATGGCGGCGACGGATCGACGGCCGGCGACAACGATGGCGACGGCCGCGTGGGCGCTTGAGAAGTCTTCGCCAGGCGCCCGCGAGCGAGGCACGGGGCTGGCGGGCTCCGCGAGCGAGGACTTCGACGGCTCCCGGCTGCCACTCCGCGACGACCGCCAGCCTTCCGCGCCCGATGCAGGCACAAAAAAAGCGCTTGGCGTGGCCAACAGATCGAGACGGCCAACATTTCTGGGCTTTTGACTGTAGCAGCCGTTTCTGGGCCCGACGACCGTGATTAAAAGAACTTGGGATGACATGTCATGTCGCGGCGGCGGCCCTGGCGACACGCTATGCCCTGCAAGCGGATAGCGTGTCACTCTGCTCCGCGGGGCGGGGGGCTCGGAAGAGCTTGGGGCGTTGAGGGCGTGGTTAGCGTATCGCACTGAATCTTGGGCCAAAACCGGCGGAGTGAAAGCGTTCTGGGGCCCAAGATGGCCCTGGCCAGGCATGGTGGAGGTGTGTGGATGCCCTCTGCGAAGCGTGGCGGAGCTCGGGGCAAGCGCGCCCAGCGGGCTCAAAAGGGAACTTCGAACCCTGGAGGAGGAGAACGGGGAAGGATGGTGGGGGGAACGTTTTGAGCTGCTGGGATTCCGAGAGGGCACCCGACGCCACGAATGGGCCCGCCCCGAACTCCTCGGCGAGACAAGCTCCAGGAAAGGTTCAGAAGACTCCTGTTGAGCACGGGCCCGCTGAGAACTTTGTCGCCGGCGGGGTGGCCATGCTGCATCCATGAAGTGTTCCCTGTCCTCCGACTATGCAGCTTCTTCGTGACGCAGAGTCTCGTTGTCACGGGGACGAACTTACCATGCCGAGCTGCTTCTTGGCGGCCCCGGAGCCTGGAACTGGCCTCGTGAGACCGCATACGGCAAGACAAATCATGGTGCCGCGAGTTCTTCGCGACGCCAGATCGGAGGCGCTGTTGGACCCCATTGGGAACCCCGCGGCGCACTTTGAAACATCGGGCCACAACCGGGAGCGAAACATAGGTTCGCGGATGCCATAACAGTAGAAACTCCAACAATCCGATCATTGAAATCAAGCTGTGTTTCACATGTGTAAAACATGTTCTTCAACAGTTTCAAACATGTCTCTGGCATCTTTAAAACATGTTTGATACATTTTTTGGCATCTTTTGGACATCTGACAATTATTTGGCAGCATGCTTCCTCTCCATTGATCGCCCTCCACAAACATTGGCCCTTTGCGACACGATGTTGCGGGCCGCCGCCGCCCCCACTGGGAGTCCTGGCGGCTCCCCAATTCCTTGCACCCCGACGCGTGTCGGAAGGCGGGCGGGGCGTTTCGCCTGAGACCTCCTGTAGAGAACTTATTAACACGAACGGGCTGCAAAACAGGGCTGCAGGAATCTCAACTCCAAATCTCGTATCACGAATCTCCGACCCTCCAATTCTCCGTGGGATCTTTACACCCCCTTTCGGACGCGGCGAACAGACGGGAGGCAAAAACCTTGGCCGTCAGCCTCGTCGCCGACACAGTTAGTTCGTCGGCAACAAATCAAATGAACACCGACAGGTCGAATTTTTCGACCGTCGTGACCGAATGAAGAGCCAACCCGCACAACAAGAAAACAACTCCCCACACTCGCCAGCGGCCCCGATAGCACCGCGAAAAAAAACTGCTCCGCACCCTGCGTCGCGGGCCCAGTTCAGAAGCTCTGACATAGTTTCCTGCGCAAGGTCCGTGGGTCATCTCACTTACAGCCAAACTGGCATGAATCGGTCCACCGTGAATCCGCACCTCGTCCGGCTGAGAGATCCTCGGTCGCCTCCAACACTCGCTGCAACCTGCTCCAAACTTCGACGATCACAAAACCCATCTTCTCATAGTGCCGTCTCATCTGTGTCTGGTCTAGCGGCTTGGTGAAGAAACCTGCTGGAGCACAATCTTGTTGGCATTCACCTGGTCCTGGAGCCACAGGAACCTCGCGTCTAAATGACTCACCATGCCCAGTCCTTGGCGATTCGCAATACCCTCGGCAGCCACGCTGTCACTGCGCAGCTCTACTGGCGCCAAGGTCATATTGATCGGAGACGGTTGCCTGACGCCGAAATCGACGGCATGGACTGCAGACCGAGTGGGTTCGTCGCGCCCTTCAGCATGACGCAGTACGCACTTTCTCCACTAGAGAGGGCCACGCTGGTCTAACTCTTCGGAGCATGCGTGACTAGGCGGGAACCCATCATCAGCATCATGCCTGTCCTTGATTTCCTCGTCGTAGCTTCTCCCGCCCAGTCAGCATCTACATGCGCGTCCACTCTGTCAGGTAAAGCTTGCAGCTTGCGTTGGACTCCCAGCTCGGGTAAACTTGAGGTGCCTTCTTGAACGCTGGAAATCCATCATGTCCGCTGCCGTCGAGGCCTTCATCCTCATTGCCAGCGTCGGGGTCGCGTCGCTCAGATCGGGCCGATCTTGACTCAGATAATCACCTGGCATGACCAAAGACATGCAACATCTAGCATCATTCTCGTCGGGTGATGGTGACTGCGCAGCTGCAAACATTTGCTTGGCGCTCTTCTTGACCGAGGGCGTCTGGGTCGACTTGGCATCGTCCAGGTTCAAAACGCGAATGATCGTGTCCACGCGCCCAACGTCCGCCTCGATCCCCGCCTCGCCAACTGTTGGAACCCAAACCAAAGACCGGTTGATATTCGCAACACTCTGAACCATGTCTGAAGCTGAAGACAACCTCCAAGTCACCTTGAAGTCGTACATGGTCAAGGACTTGTCAAACCACCCCTCGTCGCTGGCAGACACCAGCACTCCGAAATCATCTCCATGTACTTTCAAAGCCACATCGCGCTCTGGATGCCCCAAGATCGCCGGGCTACACCTCCTTGTCCTTCAGCAGCTCCACGTAGTCGCTCTTCCACACTTGGCTCGCGTCCACAGCGCCGTATATGGTTCTATTGAGAACGCCAACCATCGGTTCATCGTCACCTTCTCGATCGTCGGGCGAAAGCTCCACCCAGATCCTACGGGGCGCCTGGCCATGGAAGTGCGCCAGGCCGTGGCAACTTCTGATTTGGATAAGCGAGTGCGCGCGCATAGCATTTGTTGCAAAAGATGGCCCGGTGGGGGGGGGGGGTAGATGCCGGTTTGGCTGGGATAATCTGAATTCACAGGTAGGATGGACAATCTGTCAGGATCCATGTATTTTGCATAAGTCCCCAGGGGATATGTAGCCCGGGGGGGGGATTTATTTTGTCTTTCAGAAAAGAAAAGTTCCTTGCCGAACTTGAAGTTGCCAACTTCACTGCTTTCGCAATCATCCCACTCGCCCACCCGCAACTTGGTTGGCTAAACCCACGCGGAAGCGATTGCGATGAATGCTGGGCGTTGGCTGGTGCATCTCTGCTGCCGCACTAGCCCGCGCATGCTCGCGCGAGCGCAGCGGCCAGCTAGTTTTGCGCGACCGACACGAACGCGGTGGCGCTGACCACCCGGCGCATCCCAGTCGGAACTTCAATGAATGTCAGCGACTTGGGCGGGCGCGGTGCTGCGGCACCGTCGGCAACGGTAGGCGCGACGATGCCGGTAGCGATGCTGGTGACGATGCTGACGGAGACGACGGGGCAGTCAGCGCGGGCGCCGATGCTGATCGCGCCGGCGAAGATGACGGCGCCCTCGCGTCGGTGATGAAGGTTTTGGAAGGAGTTCGAGTGGCCCTCGCGGTATTATTTGACGCGGATCGCGCCCCCCCCCCCCACGCGCGCACGGGCGCGCGAATGATGTCCGCATGTGGCGCCAGAAGCCCGCTCGGCATAACTCCACGATAATGTCTTCTCAAGAATTTGCAAGAGCACGAGCGCACGCATTTTTATCACCAAAAAACAGAACATCCTGGCGAAGGACCCAATCACATGCAGTTGTGCGCACAGCATGTTTGAATATCTTCTTCGGCGAAGCTGCCCATGGGGCCACGAAGCGCTGCACTGGGTGGGGGGGGCACGCATGCGGGCGGTAGCTCTGGGGCCGTCGGTGGAGCCCCCGATCGGACCACGACACGCTGTACTGGGTTGGTGAGAATGCCAAATTGGATGTTTCGGGGCGCATGCGGGCGGCGGCACACTGGGGCCTTCGGTGGGGCCCCCTATGAGATCACGAAGCGCTGTGCTCTGTTGGCGAAAATGCCAAATGGGATGTTTCGGGGTAGAATGTTTGGCGGCCCCCCAAAAGTTTCCAGGCGGCTCTCAAGAAGGTTCTTGGCGGCCACCATGAGGGCTCTTGGCTGCCCCCTAGAGGGTGCTTGGCGGCCCCATGGAAAGGCTCTGAACGGCGCCCTGAGAGGGTTCTTGGCGGCCCCTGAGAGGGCTCTTGGCAGCCCATGAGTGGTTTCCTGGCGGCCCTGAGATGGTCGTTGGCGGTCCCAGAGAAAATCCTGGCGGCCCCATGGGAGGGCGGCCCTTGAGGGGGGCTCTTTGCGACCCGAGAAAGGGTTCTTGGCGGCCCGTGAAATACTTGTTTGACGGCTCCACAGCAGGCTCTACGGCCCCTGAAAAGGTTCTTAGCGCCCCCCCAATAAGATTCTTGGCGGCCCCCGAGCAGGTTCTTGGCGGCCCTCAGGAAGGTCGTTGGCGCCCCCCGGAAAAAAAGGTTTGTCTGGCGGCCCAGACGGCGCCTTTTGGCGGCCCCATAACACTGTGTTTCCCTCAGCCCCTGGGACTCAGGGGTTTGTTGGGCGACCCCTAAGACGCCTCGTGGCGGCCCCCGAGAACATTCTTGGATGCCCCTGAGAAAAACTCTCGGCGGCCCCTGAGAGGCCCCTTTGGCGGCCCCTGAGACGCATCTTGGCGGCGTATGGGAACGGGTTGTTGGTTGTCCCTGGGAGGGCGCTGGGCGGCCCCTGAGAAGGTGTTGGGCTGCTTTTGAAAAAGGGTGCGTGGCGGCCTCTGAGAATGTTCTGGGCGGCGTCTGAGAGCGGTGTGCGAAGGTTCTCGGCGTTTCCTAGAAGGGTCCTTGGAGGCCCCTGAGAGGCCCCCTGGCGGCTCCTGAGAAGCCCCCCGACGGCCCCTGAAAGGCCTCGCGGCTGCCCCTGGGAAGGCCCCTTTCTGGCACTTGAAGCGGTTCTTGGCGGCCCATGAAAAGAGTTTTCGGCAGCCCCTGGGAGGCTTCGTCGCTGCCCCTAAGAGGGCTATTGTAAGGCCAAAAGAAACTTATTGACGGCTCCTATGAAGCCTCTTGGCGGCCCCAGGGGGCTTCTTGGCGGCCACTGACAGGGTCTTCGGCGCCCGCGTGGGGTTTGGCGGCCCCTTAGATTGTTTTCTGGCGGCCTCTGGAAGGATTCGTGGCAGCCCCTGAGAGAGCTCTTGGCGGTCCCTGAGGCGGTGCCTGGCGGCCCTTGGGACGGTTCTTCGCAGCCCCTGCGAGGTTGTTTGGCGCCCTCTCAGGCGCCTCGTGGCGCCACTGAGAGGCTGTTGGGCGGCACCTGAGAAGGTTCTTGGCGGCCCCTGCGAGGGTCCTCGGCAGCCTCTGAGAAGGTTGTCGGCGGCCTCTGAAGGGTTTCTGGCTGCCTCGATAGATCCTCGAGATCTCTCTGGGAGCTCTCTGGGAGCTTTGTGGGGGCTCCCTGGGTCATCTGGAAGCCGTCTGAATAACGTATTGTGGCTAGGTGGCCGCGGCTGCACTCCCTCGGCTGCGCGCGCTCCTGGCGGGCCACTGCCGCGGGAGGGGCGCAACGGGTGGTCTCCCAGCGCGGCCCCTTTGCGCGCAATGTCGGAGGGCGTGGCAGGCGTGGCACTTTCTCAACACCAGAAAGGGGGTGCGCAAGGGGTGGTCTCTCAGCGCGGCCTCTATGCCTGCCAGGGTCGGAGAGTGTGGCAAGCGTGGCACCTTCTCGGCACCACAGGGGGTGCGCAGAGGGGGGGGGTCTCTCAGTGCGGCCTCTATGCGTGCCAGGGTCGGAGAGCGTGGCAGGCGTGGCACTTTCTGGACACCAGAGGGGGTACGCACGGGGTGGTCTCTCAGCGCGGCCCCTATGCGTGCCAGGGTCGGAGAGCAGGGCAAACGTGGCACATTCTCGACACCAGAGGGGGTGCGCAGGGGGTGGTCCCTCAGCGCGGCCTCTATGCCTGCCAGGGTCGGAGGGCGTGGCAGGCGTGGCATTTTCTCTGCAACAGAGGGGGTGCGCAGGGGGTGGTCTCTCAGCGCGGCCCTTATGCGTGCCAGGGACGGAGAGCGTGGCAGGCGTGGCACTTTCTAGACACCTGGCAGGGTGGTCTTTCAGCGCGGCCTCTATGCCTGCCAGGGACGGAGAGCGTGGCAGGCGTGGCACATTCTCGACACCAAAGGGGGTGCGCAGGGGGGTGTCTTTCAGCGCGGCCTCTATGCCTGCCAGGATCGGAGAGCGTAGCAAGCGCGGCACCTTCTCGACACCATAAGGATGTGCGCAGGGACCGACCGCCAAAATCATGCTCACATGCTCCATCTATCATCACTCCAACCATACTATAAAAATGTGGGGTTCCTCGGTAGCGTAATTTTCTCTATCCACCGGCGCGTGTCACAGCGGACCTGTAATTTTCAGACGGGCCCCATTCTGGTATCAGAAATAAAAAATGGAAAGCCACGCACGTACGCTGGATGAGGGGGGGAATGTTGGCGGATGAGCAAGATGATGAGCATAATAGAAAAGAGGACTAGGTAGGAGGAGGACGAGGACGAACATCAGCAGCAAAGGCGGAGTAGAAGAAGCGGGAGGAGCAGGAGGACCAGAGGACGGCGGAGAAGGGGAAAGAAGGGGGCGACAACGATGAGGAACGAAAGGAGGCCCGAGCTGGGGCAAGAGCCAGTCTGAACGACAGGATTCGGGAGCAAAGCGCCGATCCTAAAATGAGGCCCCCGCTGCAGCCGCAACACCATTCTGATTCTGATGGACCGAAGACGACTGGATTGGAATCAACATACAAGACAGACATACTCTTGATGTCCAATGCAACTACCCTAGCAAAGCACTCTGATAACAGCAAACTTGAATTAGCGGGTCGAGAAGCAGGCCGGATCCCTGCGAACACTGACAGGCGGGACAATAGTAAGAGCACGGCCATGTCCACCGTAGTGTAGTGTTTACAAAGGCCCGTGTCTGGGACAGGGGTGAGAGCATTACCATGTGCACCCTAGTGCGGCCGTCTGGACCAAACATATAGCTGGCATGGAGGAGGCAGCTCGGTTCCTGAATAGACTGTGAGGACATCTCAAACGAAACGGATGAAAGACTGGGCAATCTCGGGAGGCGGTTCCCGGGATCCCCCTCCTCCCTGTGGGATTCTTCTGCGCTCGCTGACTGCTTACGTCAGCACCCTCGCTAGCAAAACGCAACTAAGGAAAAACAGCACGCGGAGGGAGTGGGACATGGTTTGGACAGGTTCAGGGCAGAGAGGGGAATCGTATTCATACTGTGCAAACGCGGCGGAAGGAGAGGGTTGAAGGCAGGAGGCGGGAGGAAGTGAGACAACTGACAAGGAGGGAGTGGTGCTGGGAAGAGAGGCGGATGAGGGCAGGAGGATGGAAAAAAGGGGGGCAATTGAGATCGGATGGAGACTGGGGTAGGGGTGGGAGGAGTGAGGAACGCAAGAAGGAAGCGTCGTTGTGGGCCCTTGTCTGCCCCCCGTGGGTTCCGTGCCCACGCTATGCTCAAAGCCATGCGAGGCTACCTGTGGCGATCCGAACAAATCTCAAACTGCCTTCCGAAACCTGGATGCCAAAGAACGCAAACCGTCTTGGGCAAACTTTGGCCCCGCGCATTGTTCACGTCAGGGAGGGGCGAGCGCACGGAGGAGAGATAGGAATACGAGGATGACGAGGAGGACGAACATTACGACAGTGAGAAGAGGACTTTGCCTACACAAGCTTCCAGGACTACTTGGAGATGTAAAAAAAAAGTCTGGGGGGGCAAGAGGGGCCCGTTTTGGCCCAAGACGGCCACAAGAGACGCCCGAGAGGGGTCCCAAGAGGCCCACAATGCGCCCAGTATCACCCCAAGATGCGCCTAGGGAGGACCGCAAGAGGCAATCCGTCGAGCTCCAGAAATGCATCTGGGCCGAAGGGGGTGGTGGCAGTGGGCCGGGAGCACCTGGAGGAACGGGGACGGAGGAGGAGGAAGAACATGACGAGGGAAAGAACGAAGGCGAAAGATGCAGGGAGAGAATGCGCAGGCAAGGCAGAAGGAGGACGCGAGGAGAACCGAGAAGAAGAGCAGGAGGAGAGGGTCATGGGGGAGACAAGGACGACACTCATGTTGTGGAGGTGGAGGAGGACAAGGAGACGAGTAGAAACAGAAGGCGTACAGGAGGAGGACGATGAAGAATACGATGAAGAACGAGCAGAAAAATGAGGTCAAATAGGAGGCGGACAAGTATCCGATAAGGACCAGATGGAAGAGGGAGCAGAGGGCGGTGGTGTGGGGTGGGGGGGGAGCGGGAGAAAGCGGGAGGTGGGGGGAGGTGAGGGTCAGCAGCAACACGATGAAGACAAGAATGCATCCAATGTGGCATGCTCGGTGGCTAGTTCTGGGACGCTTGTGTGGGCACGCGTAGAAGAAGTAATCGCTGTCAAGACGCATCAGGAAAGTACTGACTACTACTGTACCGGATTACATAGAGCCCAAATGCAAGAAGGCGGATTGAATCAAGAACGTAGCAGGGCCAAGGACATATCATGGGCGACAACGGATTCAATCTCCCAGGCTTAGGGCTTAGGCGCCAAACGGGTTCAGAAGTGAACACGTGTGCCCGCCTCCCAAGTCGACCCCCCGCCCTCTCCTGGGGCGCGTCCTGGCCAATTTCGGAACGGCTCTGCCTCTGTCCACCGAGAGAGCCCCCGTACGAAACGCATGCGAAGTCTCCAACGCGCTCAGAAGAAGGTGCGCTTCGCCCCGGCGGGGCCCTCCTCGTCGTCGCCGCCCTGCCGCAAGCAATGCTCACCCAACGGGGTTTGTCGTCAAAAGCCGCGGGGTGAGAGGAACTCGGAGCCCACAGCAGGCGTACGTGCGGGCCCAGCCACGCAGAGGAGGAGGAGGGAGGAGGAGGAGGAGGAGGAGGAGGAGGAGGAGGAGGAGGAGGAGGAGGATGGAGGATAATGGAAAGGAGGAGGAGGTGGAGGCAGGAGGACGGAGGAGAATGGAAAGGAGGGGGAGGTGGAGGCAGGAGGCAGGAGGGAGGCGGCAGGAGGTAGGCGGGAGGAAGGAGGAAGGAGGAGGGAGGGAGGAGGGAGGAGGGAGGAGGGAGGAGGGAGGAGGGAGGAGGGAGGAAGGAGGAGGAGGAGGAGGAGACCTCCCAGTCCGCGGGGCCAGCCTCTTGTTACGAGCGCTCGCGCACCGCATAACCTCGGAAAGCATGGCCATCCATGTGCAAACCAACGCCTTTTCCGCGAGACGGAGATCTGTCCACACCACCAGCCGTGGGATCGATCTTCGGGGACATCGGCAGGCAGTGGATGAAGATACGAGTGCCCCCCCAAGGACCCGAATCTGCTCATGCAGGCCGTCTGCCGAGGTCTCACGGGGCCGATCCCAGAAGCGTTGCTCGCGAGCAAATCCCCGCCTCGGTTTCTGTTTCGCTCCTGGCGCAGGTCACGCGCGCCTGCCGACGGCGGCGGCGCCGCGCAGACCCGAGGGGTGGCCCTGCAGGACGCGGCTTGGGGCCTCTGGTGCGGGCGGCCGTCGGCGGCGCGCAGCTGCCAGGCGGCAGCTCCTCAAGGGGTCCTCGTGTGCTCGGGTCGGGCGGGGGAGGCGAGGCGAGGCAGGGCAGGACGCCGGTGTTCGCCCCCCCCCCAGGGGGGGGGGGAGCGGCCCTCTAAGAGCACGGCGGGGAGATACCAGAGGGGGAGGGGAGATCGTAAAGGGGCGGGGGGTCTGCGAATCACCGAGGCGTGTTAAACAAAAAATTATGTAGCCGAGGCGTGTCAAAAACGGCACTGATTTTGCAGGCGCCCCCCTCCCCCGGCGACGCAGGCGCGCCCCCCCGGCGACGCAGGCGCGCCAGTGTATCCAGGAACGCGCCCCAGCGGCGCCGAGGCCAGCCACGTGCGGTAGACTTCGGGGGCGCTCCTGTCCCCCCCCGCTCGGAGGCTTTCGTCGGAAAGATTGAAGAGGATTAAGCCCCATTTGGGAGCTGTTACACCAGAAAGGGTCTCGGACCAAGCAGGATTAAGCGGGATTTCGCGGGATTAAGCTGGATTAAGCCGGATGTCGGACCAGGGCGAAAACAGAATTTGACCTCCCACGAGTTGCATCCGAACCTGGGGGAGCCCTCGCGGCCGAGACAGATCCAGAATGAGGCGGATTCGCGGGCCATCCAGCCGGATTCGGTCAGACCATAGCCAAATTCAAATTGCATGTAGCCTGACTAGATCGGAACAGTCTGGATTAGGCCCAGTGCCAGTTAGCACCAAATGCCAGGGCTGGATTCAGCCTCGCAAGAGCTGCATCCTAACACAAAGGGGTGGGGCGAGGGGCGGGGGAGTCTGAGAAGGCATGGGGGCTTCTTATAAAGAGAGGCGAGAGCTTCTGAGAAGGCTTCTTGCCAGGCGGGGGGGGCTTCTGAGAGGCCCCCCTCTGCCCTCGAAGAAGGCGCCCCACCCTCGTCCCACCCACCCACTGTGCGCACTGCCATGGCTGAACACGGGGCGGGAGAAAATCTTCGCGCGGGCCGCTCGGGAACGCCACACCCGTGACGGCATCGCCCAGTGCCTCAGGCGCCGAGCCCACGCCTCCAGCGCCGCCGAGACGGCCAAGACCGCCTGGCCTTGGAGCTCCTCCACGCGGCCGCTCGCCCGCTCCAGGCGCTCACCTCACCGGCTGGCCCTGCCACACCTGCTGCATCGGAGGTTGCGCGCCCACGGGCCCCACAGCTCGGGAGCGGTCAAGAGGGGGGTGTCCAAGAGGGGGGGGTGCAAATCTGGGGAAACATCATGGCCCCCGCCATGATATGCCCCCCCCCCTAGACATCACCCCCCTCTTTGCCGCCCCCGAATAGCGGCGTGCGGCGACGGTGCGCCGCGGACGCCTGGCCCGCCCGGTGCAAGCAGCAGACCCATCGGCACGCCAGGCGGCGCGAAGGCCGGGGCGGCGTAGGCCGGCGCGGGCGGGCGCCGCCCGCAGGCGCAGGGCCTGCCCAAGAAGTCCACGCCCGAGTTCTGGCAGCTTCTGCAGGTGCCCGCGCCCGTGCGCTGCATCTCGACGGCGCCCGCGCCCGGCGTCCGGCCCGGCCTGCTCGAGGCGGAGCCGGCGCCGAAGCAGATGCTGCAGGCCCAGACGGCGAGCCCAACCACCACCAGCGCTGCCAGCGCCGCCATCATCCACAGGACGGCGACAAACTGTCTTCTGTCCGAGGCAGTGTGGTAACCGTTCGAGGGAGGGTCGACTGTCATCAATTCCACGGCACCGACGGCAAGGCTCAGGTTTACCGCATCGTGCACAATCGGCTCCCCAACTGCATCGTGGCTGAGGTTAGCTGCATCGCTGGCAAGGTTCACAGCATCGTCGGTCGGGTTCACAGCAGTGCTGGACAAGCTCAGACCATCATCAATGATCGGCGGCTCCACAGCCGCCGCTAAAAATGCCGCCCCGAGAGCCCAGAGCTGCAGCTGCATCGTTTGAGAACACCCTTGAACTGAGAAGAGTAGAGTGCCGCTGCATGGTCTCATGTTAGGAATCCTCGAGGTCGCCTGCGCATCCCTTTGCAGCCTGAATGGCTTTAGCAGAAAGGCTACATATTCTTGCGGATGCCACGACAATGGACACTCTAACAATCCGATCATTGAATTAAACATGTATTTAAGATGTGTAAAGCATGTTGTAAAAACGTCCTAAACATATTTTAAACATATTACATGTGTTAGACATCTGGGAATTAGTTTGCAGCATGCTTCCTCTCCATTAATCGACTTCCACAACCGTTTTAGCACATGCTGTCCCTCCACGCACATCGCACGCACACGCTGGCAAGTTTATACACGCAGGTGCATGTGGCCCGGAAGAGCGAGCGTGAACGTGAGGATGAACGGACAACAGTGCGCATCGAGGCGGTGGGGGGGAGCAGGGAGGCTGGGCGATGTCGTGTCGGTCGGCGCTCCGGCAGTGAATACTGTCTTGGCAGCAGCGTGGTAGCACGGCAAGCCACCGATCAACCACGAGGGAGATGGAACTTTAGAGCGACCCCAAGGCCACCACATCTGTTTGGGCTCTCGGCACACACATCTGGTCCTCCTCCGCTGTGGAGGAACAGCATCGGCCGGTCTTCGGCCCACAGGAAGCATCGACCTCTCCCCGACTCACAAGACGTGTCTGCCCAACCTGCACTCGAACGTATTCCGATCGCGCTCACGCCGACGCCGTGAGACCCCGCGCGAGGGGCGAGCCACGACGAGCGTGCGCAAGAACAGCGAGCGCACATGACCACGCACGCACACTCACACGTGCTGGCAGATGCAAGCGCGCACGCCGTCACGTGTTCCCTAATCGATAGCGGGATGACGCTGGAACACCAAGCCTAGACTTACGTCGGGCGTGTCCCTCTACAGGGGGATCTGGGGCGAAAAATTACAAAGACCCAAGCAAGGCATAACACATGCCCAAAGATGGTCCAAACATAGTCCCGAGACTATTGTTGGACGCTTCTTGAATATTCCCGCTGTAGAGGGACAGGCCCGACTTAGGCATCTAGCTCCAACGTCTCGATCCTGGCGTGGCGCGGGGCCCCGTGGAGCTCCAGGACCCCGACCTCGGGAACAGGCTTCCGCCCCGGATCGTCTGCAGCCCGGGGGGCAGCAACAAAGCACACCCGCCTCCTTTTGAAGGGGCCCACAAACACACGAATAAATACACACAAATCACATTCTCTATAGTTTCCCATATTTCCTGGGTGTTTGTCTTCCCCCCCCACTGCTTATATTTTCCCATGACGATGAATTGTGTTTGTGTGCTTTTGTCCCTCCTGATCCTTTCCCTCTCGGGCTGGACGAAAGAGGCGGGGGGGTCACCACAAAGAGGGGGTTGGCGACTCAGCCTGCCGTCCCCTGGAGCCGGGAGCAGCCATGCATCGAGAAAGCTGCCAAGCGTCGGGACCGAAACCAGCTGCACACGCAGCAAATTTCGTCATTGCGTTCTCCCCCCTTTCCCCCACCCCGCCCCGCCCTTACGTCCGCCCAACTCTTCTCCCACTCCTTCTATAACGACTCCTCGTACTCCTCCTGCGTGAATATTTTCGTTGACTGCCCTGGGGCCCAGCGAGGGCCCATCAGGAACCCCTCTCCTCCTCCTCCGCATGCTCCTCCTCCTCCCCCTCGAAAGTCCGCACCCAGACCCTGAGGGAAAAGGGGCCTGCACCCCGGACCTTCTCCCAGGACCACTTAGTCAGAGGACCCGTGGAAGGCCCCAGGAGGCTAAACATAACGAAAAAAACCTCAGGCACGTTTCCCTCAGGGCCGGTTTCCACCATGCGCTTGGCTTGTGGATGCCATGAGAGTGGACACTCTAACAACCCTTTCATTGAATCAAAGATGTGCTTAAAAGGTGTAGAACATGTTCTAAACATGTTTCAAGCATGTTTTAAACATGTTTAGCAAATGTTTGAAACAACTTCTAATCATATGGAAATTATATGGCAACACGTTTCCTCTCAATTGATCTCGGCTATACGCAAGAGTGACCCTGGGTAAAAATGACCTTTGGTGCGCGGCTTTCGGGGGGCCGCGGGGGGACCAAACCTGGGCGCGCGACCAGCTGCCACTGCTTCGTTTTCAGACATCTGGGGACCCGTCTGTGCCCGCACCGAGGGTCACTCCTGCGAAAGGTCACTCCGAGCGTCCAGCCGATGAGCGTCCTCCACACCGCTTGGGCGCCCGGCGACGGCCGACGCCCGACGCCGCAGACGACCTCGACGGCGGCGTCCCGGAGCGGCGGCGCCCCCTCTCGGGCGCCGGCGGGCAGGCGCGCCGGAGGGGGCCCGCCGAGCACCGCAGCACCCTACAGGCCGATTTTAGAGGAAAAATTAAAATAGTCAAAAAAAACACACACAAAAAAGGTTCAACAATAGTCCAAAAAAAAGTCCCCAGACTATTTGGTGACTATTTTTGAATATTCCTCCTGTAGATGGACAGGCCCGACTCAAGCATAAATTCAGGGGCAACGTTCGGGGGGGGACCTCCTCCTCGTCCTCCTCCTCCTCCTGGTCTCCACTGATGGGTGCCTGCGTGGACTGCGCACCCGAGTGGCGGATTGCCGTGGAGGGGAAGCACAAGCTCTGCTCGAGAGGCCAAGCGGGCCTCCGTTCGGCGGCTCCGTGCGAGGCAGGGAGCCGTGATGAGGTGGCTCGGAAGTCATGCCGCAGCGTGCCCCCTGGTTCAGATGGCCAGACTTCCAGCATTGTAAACCCTGGGGGAAACATCAGCGCACGTGCGCGTCGCAACTTCATACGCAAGCCAGCGGCCCAGAACAAAGCGAACGAGGTGCGAGGAGCAGCAATAGGGGGGTCACCGGAACAGGGGGGAAGCAGCGAGCTCGAATCGGCGATACATCGCCGATAGATCGGCGTGGGGCCTCCCGATAGCGAAACCACACGCTCCCGGGCGGGGTGGGCCATCGGGCCCCCGATAAGCGGCGAAAGGGCGATTCGAGGCCGATGCGCTGCCCCCGAGCCGATTCCCCCCTAACGCAGCCCCTGACCGCCCGCGCCCCACTCCGCACGCGTGAGGTACGCCCGCAGCGACTGCTGCAGCGCCGAGGGGCCCGAGCGGGAGAGGCCGTGGTGGCAGGGCGTACCGCCGTGCTCCCCCGTGGTCAGCTGCAGCCTCCACGAGCGACGAGCGTGTCCAGAGCCACGCCCCGAGCCCAGAAACGCCCGGCCGACCGACCTGCGCCGGCGGCGAGCGTCTCGGAGCGGCAGCCGACCCCCACGGAGTCCAGGCGGGCCGTCGAGCCGGCGGGGGGGCGCGGGGCGGGGGGCGGGAGCCTTGCAGGACCTCGTCTTGCGCGCATCTGGCGGCCTCCCGCGACGCGGGCACGCAGGCCTCTCGCCCTCGCCGACGCCGTCGTCGTCGTCGCCCCCCCCCCCTCGCTGTCGCCAACGTGGGCGTGGACGTCGACGTCGCGCTTGTCGCGGTCGGCGTCGGCCAGCGTCGTCGTCGTTTTCGCCTTTGCCTGTGCACACTGGGCGACGCTCCCGACCACGGCTGGGAGGCGTTTTGGGATTGGCTTGAGCGGACATCGTCGCCGTAGAGTCGTCGACGTCATCTTCGTTGCCGCCGCCGCCGTCGTCGTCGCCGTCGTCGAAGATCGGGGACGGATGGAAGATGGATCGAGATGATCGAAGATCGACGATCTTGGAAGGATCGAAGACAAAGAGGGATCGAAAGGTCGAGGGGGAAATATTGAAAACCGCAGTCGTTGACGTAATCATTGTCGTCGCCGTTGCTCAACATCACCGCACCTATGCTTTCTCTGAAGGTTGCATCGTGGATGTTGTGACAATGTTGCGAAACTGTCCAGAATATTTCGGTAGAAGGTCGGGTTTCCGGGGTCCTGGTTCTGGGTTCCCAGTGCTGTAAGGAATTTCCCCAAACGGCCGATTTCGGTGATCACGGTGGGCGGCCAAGTTCCCGAGTGTTCTCGATTACAGGTATTCGGGGAAAATTTCCCGACGACTCTGGTGGGGGGCATGGTTCCAGAAATTCCAGAACAACATGCACGGAGGATCGATATATTCAGGTGGATTATATGCCACACTTTCGCCCAGCACTGACTGGAATGTCTCGAGTCCGGCGTGCAAAAGATGGATGGCCCCATGGGACCGTTATAGGGTCCTCTTAAGAACCCCTTTTGGCCGTCCCCGCCCGAGTCGTTGGAGAAACCAAACGCCCAAACAGGTTCACAACAGAGGGGAGTGATCTGAGCGGGGTGCACTCCATCGGCTTTCCCGTCCAAGATTGGCCCAAGAGGGCCGCCAAAACGGCCAGGACGGCCTCCAAGACGGCCTCGATCGCCCTATTTCTCGACCAAGATGGCGCCAAGAGGGCCCGAGTGCCACCGAGACAGCCCGAGATGACTCCAAGTCGGCCATGGATGTCCTCCAGACGGCAGAGGGAGCCCCCAAGACCCTTCGAGAGAGTCGGAAGCGCCACTCCCGTAAGGCTGTATTATGAAAGAGGTGGTAACGATAGAGAAGAATATGGCAAGGTTTTACCTCGCAAATTGCGAGCGGGCTCGATTGAACACATGGTGCGCCTCCCCAAGGCACCTACCTTTTGAAAGCGCGAGAGGAGACAGCAGGAGTATAGTCACATGAACCTGCAAAATATAATGGCCAGCAGTACGTCAGGGCGAATCGAATGTTGCAAGCACAAGGTGACCGGCGCGCGCACCTCAAAAGTCGAGGTGGACTGAGCGAGCACGACAAAGAAGAGGATCTGATGGCACCGTACGGTTCGGCAAGATGCAAAAAACAAACTGCGGAGAAGGATGGTCAACTTTTCCGGAGCGCACCTTCTTGTTTCGGAGTGAAATCAAGTTTTCGGGGTTAAACTTCTTCCTCGCGTCGATGAAAAAGAAGGCGCGCTGATAGCGAGCAACGTGCTGCGATGGCGGACTTTCGTCTCCACATGCTGGCCACACAATAATACTAGTGAATGCCACTGCTGTAACAGACACCATCGGCCTAACTTGTGGCTGCTAGAATGTAGTATGAGTGGGGCAAGCGACTGTAAATCCTGTTCGCAATCATGTTCCTTCAGAAACACTTCTCGATCCATGCCCTCCGTGTGCGTCTGTCCGCAGTCATGCCACGTGTGTCGCGCCCTGTACATGGTGGACCCAGCCTCCACTATTCCACGCACCCAGCTAACACGTCCATGCAACGTGAGCTCTGCACGTCGCTTGACAAAGGTGCATCTGCACACTTTGCGTCGTTGACTTATGATATGTTCATTGCGCCCTCCTGCTTCACGAATGTAACGGAGGGCCTTTGGTCTCTAGGGTCCTGCCATGAACTGATATAGAGTGACCAAGTCGTGCGCTGCAGCAAGTGCTCCTACTGCGTAACTGGGCCGTGCCTGCGGCATGTACGATTTGCAGAGTCCGTCTACGAGGTGTACGACGGGCTCCTGCCAAGGCGATCTTCCTCGCCTAAGGAGATCGGCGCCCCGCGTGCCATGTGTCTTCTCCTCGTCTCCAACGCCAGTAAGTTCTCGAGATCCCAAGCCGCGTTGGATGTCTACTCCCTATTGCGGTTCCGTTGCGGGGATGCGACTCCGTCGGGATCGCTTGGGATGCGGACGAGGGCGACGCATCAAGGATCTGGTGGAGCAAGTTCCACACGTAGAAGACGACAGTGGGACAATTCAATGGAGTGGTTCGAGAGGGCCGAATTTACAATTGCATGGGAATCTGACGTCTAATGGTCCAACACGGGCTATACGGGAAAGGGAGCCGCCTACTTCTCGCAAGATCCGTCACCTTCCATTCAAAGGCGGCAAGGTGGAGCAATCCCGCAGGGTAACAGGTACATTGGAAACTACGACCACTTCGTGGAAAAAAGGACCCCAACACTACTGAATCAGCGGCGCCGTCCACCAAGAAGCCGCAGATGCAAAAAACACCGCCTACACCACAAGTTGCCGGCTTCCGATTCGGGGAGGCGCCTGGGCGTCCCAATCGCTCACCGAACGAGCTTTCAAGGTGCCGCCAGGAATTGTGTGGAATACGATGGCTGAGTACAGTGCCAAGAAGTGGGTGTCAACACCCTTTGGGATGGCAGCGGCCTTCGCGGCGTTCGAGATGTCGGAGTCTATCGCACGGGGCGCCGACAAAGAAAGTAATTGCGGTGATGGGCAAGGGGTCTACCGCGGAAGTGCCAGATCATCAAGGAACGCGCCCAGGCGCCTGATCGTCAGGGAGCGTAGCTGTGGAATCAAACAGAACAGTGGGAGGGGGCGTTTCCTACATATGCCAAGCGATGACCCACCTTTGGGGCCCGTTAGCGGCAACGAGCGCCGACGGAGTGGACTGCGCCAGATGATCTTTCGGCTTGGGCAGTCCAGCGTGGATGGTCAAACCTGTCGAGAAAATCGCGAACTTGGAGACGGACGCGGCTCTGTCGAGGGAATCCTGCATCGGCGCAAGCCAAGAATGAAAACGCCTACCATGTCAGCAGGACGATCAGAAGGAATCTGGCGAAAGCTCCCCAGCGGCAGCAGCATGAACGATCGCAAGGTGGGGAAGCTCACAACGTCTAGGGGGCTGCCCCGCCGAAGTATGCAGACAAAGAATGGGGACATGCTGAGATGGAGGACGCACCAACTCCGCCAACACAGGAAGAGGGAGCTCGGGCACCAGTTGGTATACCAGTTGCGCCTGGGGAGGGGACCGCCAGCAGCGTCGCAGCGACGACTAGAAGACGAACCATCTTATAGGGGGCTCCTTGATCAAAGCGCCCACGAGCACCAGCATCACCACCTGGGACGGAGATCCTGTAGCAGATCGCTTGTGGTGGGTCTTCATGAGCTCACGCCTGGACTGAACCCCCTGCCTAGTGAGGACACGAAGCCTGGAGCACGAGTTTCGAGAACCCGAAGACTACAACATCAAGAGCAAGGTCGCTTGCCAAACAGCGTGGAGCCATACCAGCAGAAACGACAATGAATGCGACGGTGGGAAGATGGCAGACACTTTGTCAGTCAGAGCGGCGTCAAGGCGACGATGACGGACGATGACGGACAATCGCGACCCGACCTCAAGAGAAAAACTGGTGCTCTACACGAACCCACAGAAGTGCAAGAAAGTGCTGGGGTTGTTATTCAAAGATAAGCATTGCCAGCTGCTCAAGCCGAATCCTAACGTCACGAACGACACGGTTAGGACATGGTGGAAAGGAGCGCGACCAGATCCTGATATCTTCTCAGGGGTTTCAACAGCGTGGCTTCGACGAGCCGAACGATGCAGGAGGAGGACATGAGGAACTACGTTGGTCTTTCGAAGGCTCCAACTCCATCATTGTTTGAAGTGAGCCAGACCGCATCTTGGGATGACGCCTAAGAGCAATACTCTTCAACGACGACGAAGGAGAAGTTGGCCTACGCTCGAAGCTTCACCTGGGTGGAAACACCTGTCGAAACTGCAGCCCCACAGGATCCAACCACACCGGTGCACGTCATACGCGCTGCGTACCCTACATGTGCAATTTAAGGTTGGCTGTCAGCGCGTGAGACAACTTGTGCACGAGCTGCAGAAGCAAGAGTGCATTGGGGGCACTGCGTTGGACAAACCGAGTAAGGGAAATCAGCAACTGCGCAAAGAAAATCAAACGTTCGGTTTGCATTGCCAGCATGCAACAGGCGTGCTCGTGGGCAAAGGAGGCTCCCTAGAGGCCCAGGAGGCCCCAAGCGTGCCCCTAAGAGGCTCTCAAGTGACCTCCTCCTCCTGTCCTCCTCCTCCTCCTCCTCCTCCTCCTCCTCCTCCTCCTCCTCCTCCTCCTCCTACTACTACTACTACTACTACTACTACTACTACTACTACTACTAACTACTACTACTACTACTACTACTCTACTACTACTACTACTACTACTACTACTACTACTACTACTACTACTACTACTACTACTACTACTACTACTACTACTACTACTACTACTACTACTACTACTACTACTACTACTACTACTACTACTACTACTACTACTACTACTACTACTACTACTACTACTACTAACTACTACTACTACTACTACTACTACTACTACTACTACTACTACTACTACTACTACTACTACTACTACTACTACCGTGGATGTAAACAATAAACGCGAAAATTATTCATAACATTGGATTTCGCCATTCAAAGGCCGCGAGTTCCAGGTAGGGCAAGATCGGCAGCTGCCCGCGAAAATGTAAACAATAAACGCGAAACACGGAAACACTTTTTTCAACCTGGGGCCGTTCATGCCTAGCTTGCGTTCCATATCTTTGAATGGCGGAATTCAATGTTACGGATGGGTTTCGCGTTAATTTTTTACATCCACGGCTGCCATTTTGTTACGGGCCCCAAGACTACGCTGTTACGGGCCCCAAGACTACGCTAAGCTCGCACATTTCCCGACACACTTCGCTTCTGCCACCCTCAAATGCTTGCCGCATTCACGCGTTGCTTCGGCTGGCTCTCAGGCGTCCCACAGGGTTCCACGGACCACAGACGACCCCCAGGTCCCACGGGTGTCGCAGGTCCGACAAGCCCCACTGGTTCCGCAGGTCCCACATGTGTTGCGGGTCCCACAGGTTTTGCAGGTCCCACGGGTCCCACAGGCCACAGGGGTCCCCCAGGTCCCACAGGTGTTGCAAGCTCCTCGGGTGTCGTAGGTCCCACAGGTCCCACCAGTTTCGCAAGTCTCGCAGGTCCCACAGGACCGACAGGTGTCGCAGGTCTCAGAGGTCTCAGCAATGCAAAGCAACGCAAAGCAAATCACAAAATGGCTTAGAGTTGGCTCCGGGCATCCAAGATGTGGCCTGGGAGTGGTGTTCTGGGAACGCGAAGAGCACAAAGTGGCCTACAGTTGGCTCCGGGCACTCACGATGTGGCCTGGGAGTGGTGTTCTGGCAAGATGCATCGTGATTCCGGGCAAGAGTTTCACACTTTTCAACGTTATGATTTTTTGTGTCCTAGCCTGGCTAGGACGAAACGAACATGAAAGCCACGAGGTGCGATAGGGCTGCAACTTCCCAACGTTATGAATGCCTTTTTGGAGCTCTGGTGCAGGACTTCCTTACAAAAACGACGCCGTTCGTAACGCTGGAAACGCTTAAATAAGAATATTCAAATATTCTTTATTCAAGAAGCTTCAACGCTACGAACGGCGTCGTTTTTGTGAGGAAGTCCTGCACCAGAGCTCCAAAAAGGCATTCATAACGTTGGAAAGTTGCAACCCTATCGCACTTCGCGGCTTTCATGTTCGTTTCGTCCTAGCCAGGCTAGGACACAAAAAATCATAACGTTGGAAAGTGTGAAACTCTTGCCCGGAATCACGATGCATCTTGCCAGAACACCATTCCCAGGCCACATCGTGAGTGCCCGGAGCCAACCGTAGGCCACTTTGTGCTCTTCGTGTTCCCAGAACACAACTCCCAGGCCACATTTGGGTGCCCGGAGCCAGCTCTAGGCCATTTTGTGTTTTGGTTTGCGCTGCTTTGCATTGCTTAGCGTTGCTTGGCGTCGCTGTGCGTTGCATGAACTGCACCGCGTGGCTTGCACTACCTAGGTTGCTTAGCATACGTTGCACCGCCTAGATTGCACCGCGTGGGTTGCAATGCATCGACGTTCGGGGGCCACGCTGGCTACTCCACGGTATTCGTTTATTCAATATCACGTAAGTAGCGCATAAGGGATACTAAGTTAGCGTTGCTGGAAGGCCGTGGATGTAAACAATAAACGCGAAATTTATTCATAACATTGGATTTCGCCATTCAAAAGCCGCGAATTCCAGGTAGGGTAAGATCGGCAGCTGCCCGCGAAAATGTAAACAATAAACGCGGAACACGGAAACACTTTTTTCAACCTGGGGCCGTTCATGCCTAGCTTGCGTTCCATATCTTTGAACGGTGGAATTCAATGTTACGGATGGGTTTCGCGTTAATTGTTTACATCCACGGCTGCCATTTTGTTACGGGCTCCAAGACTACGCTGTTACGGGCCCCAAGACTACGCTAAGCTCGTAGATTTCCCGACACTTTTCGCTTCTGCCGCCTTCAAATGCCTGCCGCATTCACGCGTTGCTTCGGCTGGCTCTCAGGCGTCCCACAGGGTTCCACGGACCACAGACGACCCCCAGGTCCCACGGGTGTCGCAGGTCCGACAAGCCCCAGTGGTTCCGCAGGTCCCACATGTGTTGCGGGTCCCACCGGTCCCACAGGTTTTGCAGGTCCCACGGGTCCCACAGGCCACAGGGGTCCCCCAGGTCCCACAGGTGTTGCAAGCTCCTCGGGTGTCGTAGGTCCCACAGGTCCCACCAGTTTCGCAGGTCTCGCAGGTCCCACAGGACCGACAGGTGTCGCAGGTCTCAGGGGTCTCAGCAATGCAAAGCAACGCAAAGCAAATCACAAAATGGCCTAGAGTTGGCTCCGGGCACCAAGATGTGGCCTGGGAGTGGTGTTCTGGGAACGCGAAGAGCACAAAGTGGCCTACAGTTGGCTCCGGGCACTCACGATGTGGCCCGGGAGTGGTGTTCTGGCAAGATGCATCGTGATTCCGGGCAAGAGTTTCACACTTTTCAACGTTATGATTTTTTGTGTCCTAGCCTGGCTAGGACGAAACGAACATGAAAGCCACGAGGTGCGATAGGGTTGCAACTTCCCAACGTTATGAATGCCTTTTTGGAGCTCTGGTGCAGGACTTCCTTACAAAAACGACGCCGTTCGTAACGTTGGAAACGCTTAAATAAGAACATTCAAATATTCTTTATTCAAGAAGCTTCAACGTTACGAACGGCGTCGTTTTTGTGAGGAAGTCCTGCACCAGAGCTCCAAAAAGGCATTCATAACGTTGGAAAGTTGCAACCCTATCGCACTTCGCGGCTTTCATGTTCGTTTCGTCCTAGCCAGGCTAGGACACAAAAAATCATAACGTTGGAAAGTGTGAAACTCTTGCCGGGAATCGCGATGCATCTTGCCAGAACGCCATTCCCAGGCCACATCGTGAGTGCCCGGAGCCAACCGTAGGCCACTTTGTGCTCTTCGTGTTCCCAGAACACAACTCCCAGGCCACATTTTGGGTGCCCGGAGCCAGCTCTAGGCAATTTTGTGTTTTGGTTTGCGCTGCTTTGCGTTGCTTAGCGTTGCTTGGCGTCGCTGTGCGTTGCATGAACTGCACCGCGTGGCTTGCACTACCTAGGTTGCTTAGCATACGTTGCACCGCCTAGATTGCACCGCGTGGGTTGCAATGCATCGACGTTCGGGGGCCACGCTGGCTACTCCACGGTATTCGTTTATTCAATATCACGTAAGTAGCGCATAAGGGATACTAAGTTAGTTTTGCCGGAAGGCCGTGGATGTAAACAATAAACGCGAAAATTATTCATAACATTGGATTTCGCCATTCAAAGGCCGCGAGTTCCAGGTAGGGTAAGATCGGCAGCTGCCCGCGAAAATGTAAACAATAAACGCGAAACTCGGAAACACTTTTTTCAACCTGGGGCCGTTCATGCCTAGCTTGCGTTCCATATCTTTGAATGGCGGAATTCAATGTTACGGATGGGTTTCGCGTTAATTTTTTACATCCACGGCTGCCATTCTGTTACGGGCCCCAAGACTACGCTGTCACGGGCCCCAAGACTACGCAAAGCTCGCACATTTTCCGACACGCTTCGCTTCTGCCAGCCTCAAATGCCTGTCGCATTCACGCGTTGCTTCGGCTGGCTCCCAGGCGTCCCACAGGGTTCCACGGACTACAGACGACCCCCAAGTCCCACGAGTGTCGCAGGTCCGACAAGTCCCACTGGTCCCGCAGGTCCCACATGTGCTGCGGGTCCCACCATTCCCACAGGTCTTGCATGTCCCACGGGTCCCACAGGTCCTCTGCAGGGGTCCCCCAGGTCCCACAGGTGTTGCAAGCTCCTCGCGTGTCGTAGGTCTCACAGGTCCCACAAGTTTCGCAAGTCTCGCAGGTCCCACAGGACCGACAGGTGTCGCAGGTCTCAGAAGTCTCAGCAATGCAAAGCAACGCAAAGCAAAGCACAACATGGCTTAGAGTTGGCTCCGGGCACCCAAGATGTGGCCTGGGAGTGGTGTTCTGGGAACGCGAAGAGCACAAAGTGGCCTACTGTTGGCTCCGGGCACTCACGATGTGGCCTGGAGTGGTGTTCTGGCAAGATGCATCGTGATTCCGGGCAAGAGTTTCACACTTTCCAACGTTATGATTTTTTGTGTCCTAGCCTGGCTAGGACGAAACGAACATGAAAGCCACGAAGTGCGATAGGGTTACAACTTTCCAACGTTATGAATGCCTTTTTGGAGCTCTGGTGCAGGACTTCCTTACAAAAAACGACGCCGTTCGTAACGTTGGCAATGCTTAAATAAGAATATTCAAACATTCTTTATTCAAGAAATTTCAACGTTACGAACGGCATCGTTTTTGTAAGGAAGTCCTGCACCAGAGCTCCAAAAAGGCATTCATAACGTTGTAATGTTGCAACCCTATCGCCTCTTCGGCGGCTTTCATGTTCGTTCAACGCAGTCCAGGCTAGGACACCAAAAATCATAACGTTGAAAAGTGGTGAAACTCTGCCCCGGAAATTCAACGAAAGCATCTGCCAGAACACCAATTCCCAGCCACATCGTGAAGTAGCCCGGAGCCTAACCGTAGCCACTTTGTGCACTTCGTGTTTCCCAGAACATAATTCCCAGGCCACAGTTTGGGTGCCCGGAGCCGGCTCTAGGCCATTTTGTGCTTTGGTTCGCGTTGCTTTGCATTGCTTAGCGTTGCTAGGCGTCGCTGTGCGTTGCATGAACTGCACCGCGTGGCTCGCGCTACCTAGGTTGCATAGCATACGTTGCACCGCCTAGATTGCACCGCGCGGGTTGCAAGACATCGACGTTCGGGGGCCACGCTGGCTACTATTCGTTTATTCAATATCACGTAAGTAGCGCATAAGGGATGCTAAGTTAGTTTTGCCGGAAGGCCGTGGATGTAAACAATAAACGCGAAAATTATTCATAACATTGCATTTCGCCATTCAAAGGCCGCGAGTTCCAGGTATGGCAAGATCGGCAGCTGCCCGCGAAAATGTAAACAATAAACGCGAAACACGGAAACACTATTTTCAACCTGGGGCCGTTCATGCCTAGCTTGCGTTCCATATCTTTGAATGGCGGAATTCAATGTTACGGATTGGTTTCGCGTTAATTTTTTACATCCACGGCTGCCATTTTGTTACGGGCCCCAAGACTACGCTGTTACGGGCCCCAAGACTACGCTAAGCTCGCACATTCCCGAACACACTTCGGACATTGCCAACCTCAAAATGCTTGCCGCACTCACGCAGAGCTGTCGCTTGCTCTCAAGGCTGTTCCCACAGGGTTCCACGACCACAGACGACCCCCAGTCCACGGTGTCGCATTCCCTGACAAGCCCCACTGGTATCCGCAGTCCCACAGGCGTTTTCGGGCCACCAGGTATTGCAGGTCCCAGGGG